AAAAAAAAAAAAAAATTAGTAGTAGGGAGAAATGATGATTGCAAATGGATTGTTATAATTATCAGTTCTTACTTACCACCTTTATTCTGGAAGGAGATTCAATTCAAAGAATGTGTATGTTTTTAGAACTCAGAAGTACTAACTGTTGAAATTAATTGGTATGGCACAGCACCTGTGGCTCAAGTGGCTAAGGCGCCAGCCACATACACCTAAGGTGGCGGGTTCAAAACCAGCTCGGGCCCGCCAAACAACAGTGACGGCTGCAACCAAAAAATAGCCAGGCTGTAACCAAAAAATAGCCAGGCGTTGTGGCAGGCACCTATAGTCCCAGCTACTTGGGAGTCTGAGGCAGGAGACTCACTTGAGCCCAGGAGTTGGAGGTTGCTATGAGCTGTGATGCCAGGGCACTCTACCCATGGGGACAGCTTAAGGCTCTGTCTCAAAAAAAAGAAAGAAAAGAAAAGAAATTAATCAGTATACAGTAGAAATTCTTTGAATTAATTTTAACAATCTGAGGTAATGTATCTCATTCCTTAAGTCAGTATGGCATTATCTGTGTAAGGTAACTAAAGCAGTGGGAAAGGTTTATAAAACAGAATATACTTGTTGCTCTAATTTTCTAAGAATTTTGTACGCATGTGTGGGTGTTTCTTGGTTGTGGTAGATCAGTTATTTCAGTATTTGTGGTTCTTAAAAGAATTGTAGATTATGCTAGACTGGTGGGGTAATGCTGATGTTTTTTGAGGAGGAAAGTTTGATGTAATGAAAGGTGACCAGATTTTAACATTGGTAAAGCGGGACACCATTGGGGGAGGCAGGGGTTCTTAATTAAAAATTTGGTCTATATGGAGCAAAAAAAATTTCATAGAATGCAAAAATAGTATTGTAATATTTTTTTTAATTTCAAGCCAAGTACAATTTATAAATATAATACATTAAAAATTATGTATAGTATAATTCTTTGGCATATTTCTTGTCAAATTCTAACAACTGATCAACAATGCGAACTTTGATAAGCAGTTCTCGATAAGCAGTTCTCAACAATTATTTGTTATTAAAGTTTAACATTATAAAATTAACAAAAATAATATAAAACTCATATCCTGGCGAAATAGCCACATGGCAGCCGAAAATCGTATATTCCCTTCCTGTTCTCCTGCCCATTCCCTAGCTTGTGCATTCTTTCCAAAAATTGGGACTTTTTAAAAACACTGCAGGACGCAGGACAAATTGTTAAAAATTGGGACTGTGCTGCCAAAAGCGGGACGTCTGGTCACCTTAAAAAGGGAAAAATTACTATGTGCTCTGTACTTTTACTTCATCTGTTCAGAGGACGATGCTTTTGTGAAGCCTTTAACTTTTCTGTATGTCAGTAGGTATTGATGCTTTGTAGAAAAAAATTCTAGAGTGAGAAGACTAATTTTGTCTAAAACAGAAGTTCTATGACTAAACGTATTAATATTATTTTTGGTAAAAATTGCTTGAGAAAATGTACAGAGCTTGAATTTGTTGACTATTATTTAATGGGTGATTCATATTTTCTGTGAGATTTTTAAAGCGATCTATTTTGTTTTATTTTTCAGTAATAATAGAATCTATGACTAACCTACCTCCAGTTAATGAAGAAACTGTAATTTTTAAAAGTGACCGACAAGCTGCGGGAAAGGTTTGTCAAAAAAATTCAAATCTTATAAGTTATTCTGGTTTTGTTTTGTTGATTGGTTTTCTGATATATCAGTCCTCAGAAGCATTGATTAATTTTAGTAGATGAGCAGTCTAGAACTCTCAAATTTGTTTTTTTTTCTTTGAGACTGAGAAACTGTCTTTCTAGGTAGAGTGCTATGGCGTCAGGGCAACCTCAAACTCCTGGGCTTAAGTGATTCTCTTGCCTCAGCCTTGGAAGTAGCTGGGACTAAAGGGGCCCATCACAGCGCCTGGCTATTTTGTTGTTGTTGTTGTTGTTGTTGTTGTTGTGTTGCCGTTGTTTTAGCTGGCCTGGGCTGGGTTCAAACCCGCCAGCCTGAGTGTACATGGCTGGCACCCTACCTGCTAAGGTATGGGCACTGCCAGAACTCTCAAGTTTTAATACAGTCTTGATTTCCTTCATTACTTTGTGACTATCTGTACATTGGTTTAATACTGCCTGTTATTCTTTGTTGCATGAATCATTAAATACAAATGTATAGAATTCTTTACAAATGGTTACTGTGTACATTTTTTGATTTAGACTTTTGTTTGCCCAGGTGGAAGTTCAGTGTGTAATCTTTTTCATGCAGAAAAAGATTTTAGTAACAGCAGTGAAGTATTACTCTAAGCACATTCTGAGGGAATTATGAATATGTAGACAAAAATTACTATAAGGTTGAGTCCCTTTTGACATCTTTAATGGAACAACCTACATGTCTACCCTAGTAGGCAAACACACTTTATCCAGTATGTAGGCAGTTTTTGTTTGTTTGTTTGTTTTGTTTTGTTTGAGACAGTCTTACTCTGTTACCCAGGCCAGACTGTCATGATCTCAGACTAACTCACAGCAACCGCTACCTCCTGAACTCAAGTGATCCTCCTGCCTTAGCCTCCTGAGTAGCTGGGACTACAGGAGGCTGTCACAACACTTGGCTAATATTTCTGTTTTTAGTAGAGACACGGGGTCTTACTTTTGCTTGGGCTGGT